CCTCCCGGCCAAGGCCGCTGCCGCCCCGGCCTTCCCGGCCCTGCGCGGCTCGTCGCGGTCCAGCTCCGGGCTTTGCCGCCGGCAGCCGCATTGTGGGTGCCTGAGGCTTTTTTCGGCCATTCAGATGGAAATGCCCCGGGGCTGGAGAATGGGGACCCTGTTTCCAGCCTGAGGGGAGGGGGCAGCCGCCATTGCCCGGCTGGGAAGAGTGAGGAGGGGAGAGGGGCACATCTCCGTGTCTGCTCAGCCCCGCGGAGTCTCCTGGAACGGCAGAGTTGGAGAGCGGGGGTAGGAGAGGGGTCTGGACCAGGCCAGCCCAAGGAGGGACGGTCTGGAGCAGATTTGTGCTGCTTGTGCCTGCAGCCCCAGTGCGAGGGGCACTGCAGTTGCTGGTGCTGCAAGGGCAGGCTGTGGGAGCAGACTGGGGCTCCCCGCTGCCCTGGCCGTGGGGGTGCCAGGAATGGCCTCTCTGGAAGGGTCCTTGGGTGGACTGTCTTGCTCTCTGACAGTCGTGTTTAGCAGTCTCACAGTTTGCATGTGCCACAGTTCAGGTGCTACTTGTCTCCTGTCCTTGTTGGAGGATGCTGATCTTGCTTGTCTGTCTTGCAGAGATGACTCTCCTGTCCTCCCAGACACCATCCCTGGAAACGTCCTCAGCTGCCACTGAGAGCCCAGAGCAAAGGATGCTGGAGAAGAGGTCCAAGGTTGTTGAGGAACTGCTCCAGACAGAGCGGGACTATATCAGAGACCTGGAGATGTGTGTGGAGAGGATCATGTTGCCCCTACAACAGGCACAGGTAGGCACAGAGGGGCAAGCTATGGTGCAGCACTGGTGGGATGGGGTGAGGATACTGAGTTCACTTTGTTCTTGGAGGCGGCCAAGTAGCAGCATGGGAACCCACAGAGGAAATTCAGCTATGCTAAAGGAAGCAGGATGGTTCTCACTGCTACCTGCACTCATAGCAATAGTCCATCTGTTTTGGGATCCTGCTGAGCTCTCACCATTGAGAGCAAAAGACCTCGAAGCAAGTATCACCAATTTCTTTTCATTTGGTTTGTAGGTTAAATTCATTGTCAAGAGAAAGAAAATGTGGTGTCTTGGCACAGGGACAGAGTTGGTGGGAAGAGAGGGAGAATTAGCAGGTGAACAGAGGCAACGATGAAATGTGGTAGGACACATAAGAAGTGAGAGTTTCAGTGCACTGGGGGACAAAGGAGTGAGTACGGAAGTCACTGATGGGAGGAGATCACACCTGGTGGCTGCTGTGAAGCTGAGATCTGGTGGGTTGCAGGAGGGCAAGGTTGGGGAGCTCTTGGATCTGACTGGGCCATGTTCCCTATCCAAGACATCTCTCTTCCTATTCCTCAGATGCAGAATATAGACTTCGAGGGACTTTTTGGAAACATCCACACAGTAATTAGCTTCTCCAAACAGCTGCTGTCTACCTTGGAGGCTTCAGATGCCATTGGTATGAATTTTGCTGTTAACTTTTCTCATCTCTAGAATGGGCTTTGCTAGTGGTGGGGCAGAACAGTTTAAATGGTGGGGGATGATCACTGGGTCAGGGCTTCCTTTCTGCCGATCCCCGTCACCACTCATCAGTCCAGCAACAAAGTCAGGGAGATCTGTGTTGCCTCACTGGTCACTGTGCTCAGAAACATGGTGCCTGTGGCCCTCTGTGGCCTCTTGCCCTGAAGCAAGCCCCACTCCTTACTCCTGTGCTGCCAGCTTTTGCTGCTCAGGCCTGTGCCTTTGTTCTCTGTGGCTCCAGTGACCAGTGTCCCCGCTTTTACCCCTGGGAGACCTGGATTGATTGAGCATTCTGTGCTAGTGGGTGATGAGGAGGCATCCTGGGATCTCTAGTTGTAACACTGCCTGCTTGAGCTGTGAGTGTGTAATGGGGACACTGGGCATCTCACCATGAGTCACACCAGTGGTTTTGGAGGCAGCTGAGGACCAGGAGACGCTGAAATCCTGCTTTGCTGCTGTCTGCAGGGCCAGTGTTCCTGGCACAGCGTGCAGAGCTGGAGAGCGTCTACAGGGTGTATTGCCAGAATCATGACGAGGCCATTGCACTGCTGGAAACCTATGAGAAGGATGAGAAGATGCAGAAACTACTCCTGGACTTGCTGGATAGCCTCAGGTTGGAGCCTCTGGCTGTGGTAGTCACAAGGTTGTGGTTGGGGGTTTCAGTTTCCAACATCCCTGCCCCTCTGCCAGCAGTGCTTGGACAGTTTGGGTGGTGACTGGAGAGGGGCTGGCTGTGTTGCCGCACAGTTGACCAGGCTCTGGGTTCAGATGGACCCCTGCTGCAATGCACAGGTGCTGGGACACCTGTATCCCCCCTTAAACTGAGCAGAAGCCACCAAGATGCGGAGAAGGTGGTATGTCCTGGATTGAAAGCTCCTATTCCTCAAACCCTGCCCTGCCATGTCCGGTGAGGAAAGCAGCCGCTTTGGCTGGCTCAGTGACTGCCAGAGCACCAGCTTGTGGAGGTTACCGCCCATCGAGCCAGCAGCACTGGCTGCTGCTCTGGAGGGACAGGGCTACCCACTGCCTTGGCAGCATCACTGTGGGATGGGGTGAAGGCTCTGGCTGTGGGATTGCACACCTGCCGCCCCATTAACCCGTTGCTTTTCTTTGCTTTTTGGCACTCTCTGGGCCTGCAGGAGCCTGTACAGTGAGTGGTAAGTGCATCCTTCCTGTTAGTCCCTGCTTGTCCGTCTGTCCTTGCCTGATTGCTCCCTTGTAACTAACCTCCTGCCCTAGCTGGGTGCATGTCATGGGGCCTTAATGGTGCCTCCCTTGCGGAGGCATGTCTGGGAGGAGCAGGGTGTCTGATATGATCACAACAGAGGTAATGGATGGGCTGCACAGGCAGGTGATGAGGTGAGGGGTGATTTTTGGCAGGAAACAGGTTTTAGGAGCCATCAGCCCCAAGGAGCCAGGAGAGCCCTGTGCTGTCTGCAGTCCGAGCACAGTCAGCCTGTCCTGCAGTGGGGCTCAGATCTGGGTGATTAGGTGGTGGGAAAGAGTCTGAGGCAAGTGGCACTCTGGTAAAGTTTGAGGCTGTGCCTGTGTGGGATTTTGCAGTGGATCATAATGGAAAGGACCCTGGCTGGGAAGGGTCACCTGGTATGAGTGAGGTCTGGAAACGTGGGGTTGCTTTTTGATCAGTATGGGTTCAGGAGTGCAGTGAGTTTGGAGGTAAGGGTGGTGTGACTCAGGGAGTACAGTGGATTTAGAAGCACTGGTATTCTGGGTCTGGTTGGGGTTGGCTTGAGGGGCAGAATTTGTGTGGCAGAGCTGGACTGATGCATCTCCTTTGTCCCAACTTTCCAGGGGCTGCACAAACTACATTAACCTGGGCTCCTTCCTCATCAAGCCAGTGCAAAGGGTGATGCGGTACCCGCTGCTGCTGATGGAGCTGCTGAGTGCCACCCCCGACAGTCACCCTGACAAGGCACCGCTCACAGCTGCTGTCCTCGCAGTCAAAGAAATCAACGTCAACATCAATGAATACAAGCGCCGGAAGGACCTGGGTGAGTAACTGGGTAGTGCTGGGGAGAGAGAAACAGGAGTGATGTGTTCAAGTTGTCTGTCAGCTCCTGAGCCTTAGCAGGCAACCACAGTCATGGAGGGAATCTGCTCTCAAAGTCTGTGCCCTCACAGAAGGGCAGTAGAAGAGCTGCATTTAAAAAATCTGAGTGTGAGGTTCAATACTTAAAGTAATACAGTATACGTCTGACTTTAGTTGTTTCTTGTGGTACAGAGCTATGAAATGTATGCAGTTGCTGACCACATGGCTATTAAATGAAAGCAAAAATAATGATAAGACAGAAGAATATATATTTAAAGTTGAAAAATACAATTTTAAATAACACAAGTAGGGAATTAATCTGTGAGGGCTGAGATTTGGAGACTAAGTTTGAAGGCTCTATCTGTAGAGAGGACAGAGTCACTGGCTGCAAGAGCCCTCTGAGGTCTCCTGTCCAACCTCCTGCCTGGAGCAGGACTGTCCCCAACATTGGTTCTGATCAGCCATTGCTCCCTCCAGCTGACTCTCACTGATCCTCAAGATGGAGATTTCACAGCCTCCCTGCTGTCCTGTGCCAGGGCTGCACCACCTTCACAGTAAAGCTGTGCTCCCTGATACACCCTGAAACTCTCAAGCAGCCATCTGTGGCTGCTGCTCCTCCTTGTGTTGCCTGGCACTGCTCCGAGGAGTTTGGTCCCATCACCTTTGTAGCTGCCCTTTAAGTAACTGTTGGCTGTGAGCAGATCCCCCTCGGCCTCCTCCCAGCCAGGCTGAGCCCGCCCAGGTCCCCCAGCTCTGCCCGTGGGGGCTGAGCTCTCCCTGTGGGTCAAGAGCTGTGGTTCTCCCATATCTCTCTTGACCTGGGGGCACCAAAACTGGACACGGTATCCAAGTGCAGCCTCCCTGGGGCTGAATGAAGGGAGAAAATTCTTCCCTTTGACCTGCCAACCACCCTCCCTGTTTTTCCTTGGAAGCCCCTGACTCATGTAAGTCTTATGCTTTACTCTTTCCACATAGCCTCACTGAAGCTGAGATGACATAGGCTGCCTGTAACGATGCTCGTATTTGCTAAAGAAGCAATATAAATACATTCCAGTGTACATCCAATTACTATTGTACACCATCTCCTATGTCATTTTATGCTAACACTATGCATAATCCTATGGAAGAGTTTTAATGGTGGGTCGGCAAACTGCAGGGCATATCAAGAGCCAAATAGGAGATTACTGGTGGTGCAGTGCTGGATTTCAAGATGATATATGGTATGGTATGGTACGGTATGGTATATGTGGGGTACTTGGGACTGCAGAGGCTTAGGGAAGGGGAGAGCCAGCAAGGCGATTATTGATGAGGCACTGTAAGACATGGGTGTTGTGCTGACAAGGGTTCTGATTTCTCCTTCAATCTCTTTAGTGCTAAAGTACCGGAAAGGAGATGAGGATAGCCTTATGGAGAAGATTTCCAAGCTCAACTTCCATTCTATCATCAAGAAATCCAACCGTGTGAGCAGCCACCTCAAGCATCTCACAGGCTTTGCGCCCCAGGTAACATGCATCAGCTGCTAGGTGCACTTACACCCTGTGGTGCTTCTGTGGTGGTATATGCTGTTCCCTCACACCTCTTCCCTGATGAGTAGCAATGATCCAGGCCAGCAAGGCAGAGGGAGCTTAGGCTCTGAACCACCTATCTCTGCTCTCTGGCTTGTGGGCAGGAGCCCCACATCTTACACTTTGGGAGGTGCTGGAGTCCTGCATTGCCTCCCTTGAAGCATTTTCTCTCACAGCTGAAGGATGAAGCCTTTGAAGAGACAGAGAAAAATTTCCGGATGCAGGAGCGGCTGATCAAGTCCTTCATCCGGGACCTTTCCCTCTACTTGCAGCACGTCCGGGTGAGTTAGTCTGGGTGTGATGCCTAAGCCATGGGGCTTGCCATGCACTGCTCCTCCTGCCTGCATGGTGTGCACCTGCAGTGCCTCTTGCCAGTGCTCCTGTCCTCAGCCCTGCCAGGGGGGTGGTCTCTGAGGGTCTGGTTCTTCCCTGGGAGGCCTCTTCTCTTTGCCCACAGCAAGCATGGCTGTGCTGACTGTATGTCCCTGGTGCAGGAGTCAGCTTGCATGAAGGCACTGGCAGCAGTGAGCATGTGGGACCTGTGCACGGAGAAAGGTGGTGGTGACTTGGACCAGTTCCAGAAAGTGAATCGGCTCATCAGCGACCAGCTCTTCTCCAACTTCGTGAGTGAGGCTGTGCTCTTTCATGCTGGGGGCACCCCTCTGGGGCCCTCCCTGGGGGCCTGCTGCAGATGGGCAGTCCCTGGGAGACTGCAGGGAGGGTAACACAGCCTGGGAGAGGTGTGAGCACTCCTGTTAGGCTCTTCCTTCCTGAGAGCTTTGATGTCTGTGGGTTTGTGATGTGTATCGAGTGTGCCACTTCTTCAGCCCTACCTGAAACGTTACAGCTCTCTATGTGAGTGGTTCAGGTACTTCCCATAGTGTGCCCACACTGGCACATTTATGTAAGATTATAGAATAATTCCTGTTGAAAGGGACGTCTGCAGCTCTGGTGGGTGCCATCAAGAAGATGGACCCTGTGCTGTCCCAGAGAGGTGGTGTGCTGAAAGGTGAGCTGTTCACTGCACAGTGGGAGAGAGCACCTTGTCTCACCTACTCTCTGCATCTCTGCCCACCAGAAAGAGCGGACGGAGCGGCTGGTGAGCTCACCCCTGAACCAGCTGCTGAGCATGTTTGCGGGGCCCCACAAGCTGGTGCAGAAACGCTTCGACAAGCTCCTTGACTTCCACAACTGCACAGAGCGAGCGGAGAAGCTGAAGGACAAGCGAACGTTGGAGGAGCTGCAGTCAGCCCGCAACAACTATGAGGCCCTCAATGCTCAGCTGCTGGACGAGCTGCCCAAGTTCCTGCGCTTTGCCAAGGAGCTGTTTGCCAGTTGCGTGCGGGGCTATGCCGAGGCACACTGTGACTTTGTGCGCCTGGCCCTGGAGGAGCTGAGACCCCTGTTGTCGGTGGGTTCGCAGAGCACAGCCAGCGCTCTGGGCTCAGTGCAGCACGAATCTCTGCGCCAGGCTTGTCCCTGAGCTTCTGGGACCCATCCTACTGCAGGGGAAGCTGCCGTTGCAGTTTCAGGCCTGGAGTGCCTTGGGGAGGGCTCCTGTGGGATGCTGTCAGGGCAGGGATTGTGGGGTCATGTTGTAATTGTGTGTAGAGATGGTAAAGGCTCTGGCTGCTTCTGGAGCAGTGGCAGGAGAGCATTTGCCTGGGAGAATCTCAGCTTGTGAGTGTGGGGACCACTCAGAGCTGGGTCCAGACACAACTGCAAATCTGGGCCTGATGAAGTCATAGGCAGGGCTCAGAACCCAGCTTGGACTGGGAGCTGGCGTGGTCTCTGCTGTAGCTCTTGGCCACTTTTCCCAGCAGCTGTCACCTAACGATGACCCCCAACTTTGCTCTGGTTCCAGTTGCTGAAGGTGTCTGGCAGGGAGGGGAACCTCATTGCCATCTTCCAGGATGAGCACAGTCGAGTCCTCCAGCAGCTCCAGGCCTTCACCTTCTTCCCAGAGTCCCAGGCACCTCCCAAGAAGCCTTTTGAAAGGAAGAGCGTGGAGCGGCAGTCTGCCCGGCGGCAGCCCCTTGTTGGCTTGGTGAGTTCCCTTTGCCCCATGTCAGGGCTTGCAGAGCCTGGGACAGTCACTCATGCCTGCCTCGTTTCTCTGCAGCCTAGCTACCTCCTGCAGTCGGATGACATCCGAGCTGCCCTCCTGGCCCGCTATCCCCCAGACAGTCTCTTCCAGGCAGACCGCAATTTCAACGCTGCCCAAGACCTGGATGTCTCACTGCTGGAAGGAGACATCGTGGGTGTCATCAAGAAGAAGGACCCCATGGGCAGCCAGAATCGCTGGCTCATAGACAATGGGGGTAGGTGGCTGCTCCCTGCCCTTGGCACCTGCTGTGAGTGCCCTCCTCTGGTGCCCCAATCTGAGCTCCCTTCCTCTCCCTCTCTGCAGTGACCAAGGGCTTTGTGTACAGCTCCTTTCTGAAGCCCTACAACCCGCGCCGCAGCCAGTCAGATGTCTCTGTGGGCAGCCACTCTTCCAATGAGTCAGAGCACAGCAGCTCCTCTCCCCAAACCAACACCATGCTGACCTTCAGCCCCAGCGGGGCAGCCGTCACCTTCACTCAGAAACCGCTGCAGGACTTGGCCTCCCCAGCAGACCCATACCAGTCCCTGCAGCCCCACTCGGAGATGGACTCCCCCTCTCTGCCCCAGCCTGGCTCTGGTGACAGGACAGCCCCAATGGAGGCTGGTACAGTGACGTCTCAGCGCCACTACAGCCGCCCTGAGCTGGGGTGCAGCCCTAGCTCTCGCAATGGGCACCCTGCCAAAGCACAGCTCAGGCCCACACCCTCGGTGGAGGACAGAGACTCTGGGCTGGAGAGCAGGGAGTCAGAGGGCAACCAGGTGAGTCCTCGGGCTGGGGATGCCAAGGACTGACCCCCTCACTTGAGGCTGAATCATTCTCCCTGGCAGTGATCAGGGACAGGTGGGAGGCAGAGGCTACTTTGTCCCAGAGGGCTGAGGTAGAGGATGAGATCTTTTCTCTCCAGGGCAGAGAACTAGACTGCAAAGGAGTGTGGATTGGTGGGGACAGCTCTGGCAGAGCTGGGCCTGTCACTGTTTGGGAAGAGAGGCAAAAACCCACCCATCCTGTGTAATGTGGCATCACCATCTGACTCTCTCCCTCTGTCTGGCAGGTCTATTACGCTCTCTACACCTTCAAAGGCCGAAACACCAATGAGCTGAGCGTGTCAGCTAACCAGAGACTCAGGATCCTGCAGTTTGAGGACATCACAGGCAATCGGGAGTGGTGGCTGGCAGAGGCACATGGGAAGCAGGGCTACGTGCCCTCCAGTTACATCCGGAAGACAGAGTACACGTGAGGCAGCAGGCAGTAGCCTGCACCCTCTGCCTTGTTCCTGCTGGGATGGCATGGGGCCTGTCAGGGAGGCTGGCCAGCCCTGCAGCCCCCACTGCTGTCCCTGAGGCTGTGTCCCTCACAGCTGTGCAGCGCCGTACCATACTGGCTGCCACCTCCCCTCCTGGGGAAGAAGGGTAGGCTGGCAGGAGCAGGTGTCTTGTGTGAGGGCAGAGCTGAGTTCACCTGTGCTTTTTGAGCCTCCTGTGTCTAGCTGGGAACAGGGGAGCAAAGCTTAGGGCTGCGGCCTAGGAGGGTAAGGCTGGACCAAGGCTGAGGAGCTGCTGTGGGTTTAAATTGTGGAAAGCTAATAACTGAGTTTCTGGAGTCTGTCTTTAGCCAAGTAGTGTTAAAAGCAACCTGGGCTCTCTGAATGTGCTCCCTGTGTCTTCTGAGTGCCAGAAACCTGGCCTCACCTGTCTGTGGAGGACCTCAGGGTGGGACAGCAGCAGCCTGCCTGGGGAAGCAGCTCTGAGGTTCGCTGGGAGTAGTTGAGCTCCAGGGCTGGGACAGGCCGAGCTCCTGAAAGCCCCCACAGCAGAGCCCCCAGCAGGTGCTTCATCCCCATGCTTGGTCTCTCCAAACTCTGCTACTAGCAGCAGCCATTGGATTCTTGACTTTGAGGTGAGCTGGAGGTCCAAAAGCCATCTTCCCTTGTCAGTGTTGTATCTCCAGTGTCCAAGACCTGTCTTTGCACTGAGATGCCCACCTGGCTGCTCTGGGCTGGGGCATGGCAGAAAGCAAAGCACAGACTGATTTTGGGGGGATCTGACCAGGATTGCCTTAACTTGCATGACCCTGCAGGGCACTGGAGATAGTGCTGACTTTCTGGGAGGGCAGGGCCCTCCCCGGGAGGGATGTGGTGCCCTTTGCCAGGGTGGTGTGCCTTGCCCACTGCTGCTGTGCCCTGAAGGAGGGAAGCTCCCTTCTTCTGGAGCGATGTTTACAGCCCCTGTACTGCTGCTCTGTAAATAAAGATTTTTCCCTTGTGTATAGAGGTGCCTGTGCAAGTGGTGAGAGAGCTGAGAGGAATGTCTAGCCAGTGCTGGGCTGGGGGCCAAAGCCACAGCCTGCATGCAGACCCTGCAGGGCCAGGAAGAGCAGTGGGGTCCTGCATGCTTCTGCCTTGGTGTTTGAGCCAGCTGCAGCTCAGGCACTCAGAAACCCTCACAAGAAAGTTCTTCATTAAGATGAAGTGATTGCACCAGTCTTTTCCTCTTGCTGGGGCTGTGGGGGGCTTGTGTCCCTCCCACCACCACGCTGGGGTGAGGGGGTCTGCCCAGCTGTGAGGGGTAGGCAGTGTGCATTGTGACCCAGCAGCCAGGGTCAGGGCTGCAGCTCCTAGCTTCCATGCCCAGGAACAAAGAAGAGTTTGTGAACAGTAACCACCCTATTTTGTGTGTGTGCATGTCAGTGTAGCAGGCACGTGTGCCTGCACCTCTCCAGCTTGACTCCACCACAATCAGGTTTGTAGTCTGGAGCCACAGCCCAAAAGCTGTCCCACTACCGGTTAGGGTAGCCCCAGGGACTGCCTCGTGTGTTTGCACTACAACCCAAAGGAGCAGTAGGGAAGACGGGAAGGCCTTGGCTCCACCTCCACAGCCAAAGAGTAGTGATCATGTCTGGGTATGGCTGTGCCATTCCATTTGGACTCTGTGCCTATGTGTGTCTGCATACCATGTGTTACCAGCTTCCCCCAACACTAACCAGGTTTAAAGCTAAATCAAGGCTGATTTAGCATGTCTTAAAGTCAGATTTTTAGTTGGAAGATTAGAAACAGTTACAAAAAGTAAATAAATTATAACATTCACTCAGATTAAACTGTAAATTTCATTCCATAGTGCTAAGGCATCTCTCAGCTAGGTTCCCCTGACAAGGTGAACAAAACTTTATACAAAAACTTAAGACCCCCTAAGGGGGTAATGGTCTCCCTGCCTGGTTGATAACTTTTCCCCTCTATGCTGGAATAAATTAGCAGTTTCAGACCCTTGTGTTCACAGCAGGCAGGGCGTAGTAACAGGGTTAACAGCTCACTCAAGTCTAGATCCTCGGTCCCTGACAGCCAGAGAAGCCACCCTCTCCTCTTCCTGGCTGCAGAGACACAAATTCCTGGGCAGCCTGGCTGCAGGGAGATGCCGGTGCCTGCTTGGTGAGTGCCAGTGGGAGGGAGGTGCCTGTGCACACACCTGCACGCTGCTCTGCTCCACCTACAGTGTGGTGGTTTCTGTATTCACGATGCCAGCGTCCTTTGCCATGGCAGAGAAGGTGCCCTGCTTCTTGAGCAGCTCCTCAGGGCTGTCGTATTCCACAATCCTCCCAGCCTGGAGCACCATCACCCTGGCAGAGGGGAATGAGAAGGCCTGAGCTCCCAGGATCTGAGCCGATAGCATTGCTGGTGCCAGCACTACAGCCCCACCGACTCTCACTCCTACAGCCACATTATGCAGTTCACCTCCTCAGCACAGAGGTGAGGGCACAGCTCTCCTCCCTGTACTGGCAGGGTGACACACAGAAGGTGTCAACAACACTCTTACAGCTGTTGCTGTAAAGAAGGATCCATAAAAAAGTATTTTCCCCCAAAGGCATAACTACTGCATGGCCATCCTTCCCCTCCCTCTATTCTCTCTCTTAGAACCTCTGTATATTGCTGTCCTGGGCGCTGCAACCACCCCTGCCTCAGTCCCTGCATCCTTGCTTCTGCTGCTGGCCACCTCTCACCCCATCCCAGGAGTCCAGATCCCCCTTCCCCCACAGTACTGCCCCACAGAACCTGTTGCTGTCCATGATGGTGTGGAGGCGGTGGGCGATGGTGAGGACAGTGCAGTCAGCAAACTTGCTCCGGATTGTTGTCTGGATTAAATTATCTGTTTCCAGATCTACAGCTGCTGTTGCTTCATCCAGGATGAGGATCTTGGCTTTGCGGAGAACAGCCCGGGCCAGGCACACCAGCTGCCTCTGCCCAACACTGGGATGAGGCAGGGAATGTGAGTTACTAGGCAGACACCAGCAGGGCTTTTGCAAGCCTACTGCCACACGCTGCCCTGACCCCAGCACCGTTCCTGCCCAGCCCTCCCTGGCCTTCCCCCAGCCGATCATCTGCCACGCTGAGCAACACATCCCTCAGCATCTTGCTCTCTGGGCCACCAAGGAAGGGTTGGCTCATGCTGGATCCCTGACAGCCCTGACTCCTGACTGTTTTTCCCACCTTCACTCCCAGAAGCTTTTGTGCCCTCATCCCTGGACAGCCACTTTGCTAAAGACTGCTGGTCCCTGGGACGGGAGGGGAGCAGGACATGCCTCTGCTCACCTCAGGTTCTCCCCTCCCTCGCTCACAAGATGCAGCAGCCCCTCAGGAAGGTCTTGCACGTATGTCTTCAGGTGGGCCAGCTCGAGGGCCTTCCAGACCTCCTCGTCTGTGTACTGGTCAAAGGGGTCCAGGTTCATTCTCAGGGTGCCAGTAAAGAGCACGGGGTCCTGCCAAGGACAGTACTGTGTTCAGCCACACCACGGCTGTTCACCCATATAGCTGCTGCAGCTGCTCCAGCCCCACGAGTTTGGCCACAGCCTGCCCTGCTGCAGAGGGAGCAAAAGCATGCTCACAGGCCCTCGGACTCTGCGGCACCCAGGGATACACTAATGGCAAGGGGTGGCCCAGGGAACACAGCCTGGGGAGAATGTGCAGCAGTGAGATATGGAAGGTGGGGTCAGCTCACCTGCGGGATGATGGTGAGGTTCTGCCGCAGGTCATGGAGGCCGATAGTCGCTATATCCACATCATCAATGATGATGGACCCTCCAGCAGCCTCCAGCACCCGGAAGAGGCAGTTGGTGAGGGAAGATTTTCCAGCCCCTGTCCGGCCCACAACCCCAACCTGTGGAAGCAGCTATTTAGACCAGCTGACAGGGTTGAAGAAAACAAGGCAGATGCTCTCCATCTTGGTCTGGTGGTCCTTCCTGCCCTGTATCTGCAATCACCATCTCCCAGACTGTCTCCTTTGGTCCCTGCCCTGCAGCTTGAGTCCCCAGGAGCTACATCCTGTCACCATCCCTCCCTAATCCACAGACTGAAGCCAAGAGGACACAAATAACTTTAACAGTGTCACTTGGGAAACTGTAGTGAGGGCAGAGGCAGAGAGGTCCTCACCTTCTCAGTGCCCGCAATATTGCAGGAGATCCCCTGAAGAACCAGCTCCAGTTCAGGTCGGTAACGAACTTTATAGTCGACGAACTGGATCTCTCCTTTGCTGGGCCAGCCACGGGGTGGACGCTTTTCTGTCACCCACGGAGCCTGGGGGCACAGAAGCATTAGGGGGACTGCAGCCTGGGATGCTGGCTAGAATCAAGCTGTGCAGCAGGTGTTTGACTGAATCATGGTCTCCTCACCTCATTCTTCACCTTCGTGTACTCATGTACCCGCTCCACAGCCACAATGTTCGTCTCCAGCTCTGAAGACATCCGCACCAGCCAATTCAGTGTCTGGGTCACCTGCACGGCAGAACCAGAGGTTGCAGAGCTCAGTGGGACCCAGGAACAAGCACCTCCCACCTCAGCTCAGGGACTCAGCATAGGTACAAGGATCCCTGGCCTGGCCCCTAACTCTTCACTCTGCAGCCCCCTCTCTCAGCCCTTCAAAAGCTTTGCTGCAGCATCTCTGATCCACAGAGGGACCGTGCTCCTCGCCATGGCAGCAAGTATCCCACTCACACTGGAGCTAGCATAGCATTCCCCAGGTGATGGGACACCCTGGATAATCCCCTCTCCATGGATCAGAGCTGCCTGTAGCCAGCCCAGAGCTCCCAGGAACAGCCCTGTCCTGGAATAAGAAAAAGCTTTTGTTGACTCACATTGAGGGCAGAGGAGACAGAAAGACCAACGATGCCGCCCTCCAAAGTGCCCTTTGAAATCACTGCTAGAAGCGCAGAGAAGACGACCACCAGGCTCCCAACGAACTCCAGACGGATGGCCAGCCACCTGCACCAGGAGAGGATGCTTGAGGGGTGGTGGGAGAGGCATCTGCCTGCACCCAACACAGGGCCCAGCAGTAAGAGCAGCCTCCCACTAGCATCCCTGTGCAGCCAGCCCTGAGCCCAACGCTGTACACATGGTACCTGCACCTACACAGCATGCAATGTGGTCAGTTCTGCAAGGAAGTTAATTTTATCTGTCAGTCCCTGGGTCTCAGATGTAACCTCCTGTGCTGGTAATGCCACATATCAGAGGAGCTCCAGCTGTACAACCCTTGCGCACCCAAAGCATCCTACCAGTAACACATCAACACTGGACAGTGGCCCCATGGCACTCCCAGCTGGCCTGGGGCATTGGCCTCTTCTCAGATCCCACCAAGAGCATCCCAGCCCTTGACAGCACATCTCACCCTGCCCAAGCTCTGAATACTTTGTAAGGGGCCACACTCTGGCTTTCAAAATCACCCTAAAATGTCTCCTTCCCACAGATGGTATCCCTATCCCAAGCTCCCCCAGTTCCTACACAGACCCTCAGCCATGAGATCAAGAAGGACTGCAGCATCTCAGGGACCTCCCTCAGGACCCAGAGGCCCCTGGGCAGAGGTGCTGCAGGCTGTACTGTAGCATAAGAAGTAAAGTTCACCTGTTTGAGACTATCCAGGAGTGAACACTTTTCTGATTTATGTCCATGGTGCTCTCATTTTGCTTCAGGAACCTTTGTTGGTGTCCATAGGCCCGGATCACAGAAAGACCTGACACTGTCTCACCAAAGTGGGAGTAGATAGGAGACCTGGTGACTGAGTCCAGACGCCGTAGCTGGCGTGATGTGGAGACATAGAAGCGCTGAAATGAGGGACACGGCTTGGTTATCAACACAAAGCCCGGCAGCACCAAAGATACTGCTCTAAGCAGGGCAGAAGCTTCTCTCAAGCCCTGGTTACTCACCAGCACAAAATAGTAGAAGATGCTCAAGGGAATGATAATGAGAGCAAAGAATGGGGTAGCCAGGGAGATCATGAGCAATGTGCTAATGATGGCCATGAAACAGGAGAGCCAGCTGCGGAAGGACATGGGAATGGTCTCATCTATTGTGAAGATGTCCTGGAGCATACAAAGAAGTGTGGAGAAGCAGTCAGTGACCCCAGAGAGAGTGAGAAAGCCCAAGGCCCCACAAGTACAGGCTTGCTACACTTATGTGGCAACAGTGCCAGACACAAAAATATTGGATGACACTGAGTTAGTGTTAGGGTCACAACTCCATTTAAGGCCACAGATTTTAGCTTGGGAACAGCTGATTTAATAGGGAAGCTTTCTATAATATTCCCTTGTTGCACAAACCAGCTTTGGGAACTGCATCTTTGCCTGGACCCAGGATGCAGGAGCAGGAATTGAGGGACAGGGCTGAGTTCAGTTCCTGCATCCAGGTCTCCATCTGGTCATTAGCTGTCTCGTAGCTGGGCACCACATACTTCCTCATCTCAGAGTAAACCCTACAGGCCCACTGGCTTGATCCCAAAAGAGATTTTTATTCCCCAAAATCAAGAGATAGCACCAAAGAAAGAAATGGAATGGCAGCATGTATGAAAACTACCTGTCTGTATTCTTCCATCTTTCTCATTTTGTCTTTGTTTTATTTACAGAGCAAAGACTGTATCTTTTAATGAGTTATCCTTCTAGTTATGGACTCTCAGCAGGAGATGTGAGCTCTAGGCTCCTGCCTCTCTTGGTGATCTACCCTGCACCTTTTCAGTTTCTCCACATCCCACTTGACCAGGTGGCCCCAAAACAGGACACAGTATCCAGGTGTGCCCTCCCTAGCAGTGAGCAGAGGAGATGGTAATTTTCTGTGATCTGCTGGCCACTCTCCTCCTAGTATAGCCCAGGTTGTGATTTGCCTCACAGTCAGCCTTGCATCCACCATGCCCTTCTGGTCCCTTCCAGACCCTGGTCTGGTCTCATCTGTGCAGTGCTGAACAGCAACAGGGTTATGCCATCACTCAATGCTCTCCAGACCTTCTGGAACCTTCTCCATGCTGGGGCTGTTCTCTTACCTTGGCAAACCTATTCACAATACGGCCAGTTGGGGTTGTGTCAAAAAAGCTCATGGGCACACGCAGGATGTTGCTGAGCAGTTGTTGATGCATAACCCGGGAGGCTCGCATGGCACCACGAGCAGACAGGAGGGTGGCAAAGAGCAGGAAGAGAGCTGCAAGGAGAGCACAGGGCAGTCATCACCAGCTCATGTGTGACACTGGCTCCAGGCACCCTTTGGCTCAAGGGACACATCAAGCAGCTCCAAGCCAGCAGCCCTGCAGTGAGCCACTGTGATAGTCCTGCATCCCACCTTCTTGGGAGGCACCAGTAACTGTGTCCCACCACAAGGGAAGAACGCTAACCCTTTTGAAAAGCCTTGGGCTGATTAAGAACAGTGATCTTCAACCTAAAGGGGCAACAACTTCCTGGGGCAATTTATGTTGGCTTCAGACTGGTATCTGTCCCCAGTTCAGCCAAGAGCCAGAATGAAGACAGCAGCAGGCAAATGAACACAATGCTGGGTCCCCTGCTCCTTGCTGCCTTGCTGGCTGCAGGCTTTGCAAGCCATATCCCTTCTGGACCACACAGCTGAGGTGAGGGGGATCCCCTGTGCTTCCATATTCACCTTGTAACAACCCCAGAGCCCCAAAGACACCAATCCGCAGGTCTCGCTGCTCCACGGGATAGGTCTGGTTCAGATAGCGCTCCGCATCGTCAGTCCAGGCGCTGAGCCACAGGTTGGTCCCCACAAAGGCAGCATACTGTCCAACATAGCCCATGGCAACCCAGAAAGAATAACACAAGCCAACAGCATGCAGGTACCGCAGGTACATGGAGAACTTCACCTGTGGACCAATTCAATCTATCACTGCTGCCCAGCAAACCATGGCAAATGACACCCAGCACAGCCTTGGGACCCCCGCCTTATTGCCCACAGTGCTCTTTTCTACCACCTTGCCCAGGCAACTCTTCTCCTTCAGTGTCTCTTGGAGGCAATGGGGCCACAGCCAGCCAGCACTAGCTTCTCTGAGCCACAGCCAGGCTCTTGTAGCACTGAGCCAGGGCAGCACAGTGCTCCATCCATCCATCCATCCATCCATCCATCCATCCATCCATCCATCCATCCTCTTCACCTTGCCAGTTTCCACAGCTTCTTTCTCAATCAGTTGCTCTCCCTTCAGCTTCTTGTGGGACTCTTCCTGGGCCTTCTTCCAGGAATTTGTGCTGCTTTTACTAAGGCTGCAGGGAGGTGATGGGCACCATTAGTTGTAGGGTGCTGGATGGGTCCTACTCTTCTGGGGGTCCATCCCTATGCTGCACTTGGTCTCTAGTGCTGGAGCCCTCTGGGAAATAATGTCCTAACTAGGGCAGCTTTAAATGAGCCTTGTGGAAACCTGAGGTGTTTGCAGCCATGAAAATCATAGCCCTCATCCCAAAAAAACTAACTAGCAGCAGGAGTTTCAAGGAAGACCACAGAGTAGGGCTGTGACAAACTCATGTGAGTAAAGGCAAGATCAGATGTTCCTGACCCAGCCCAGCTGGTGGTGGGAGTACATAGGGAGGCTCCCAGTCCCTTCTCTGCAAGAACCCCCCAGGGAAGCCCCCAGGGACCCTCTTTCCTAGGGAACAATGCAGGGCCCAGGGAGAGACCTGAGAGCTCAGGTTGAGTTCCCACCTGCGACTGAACTCTCTTTGACGAATGCTGGCCTCTCGCTTCAGGGTCATGGTCACCACATCATCAAGGCTCTCCTCCACAATAGGCTCAATGTCTTCATCATCCTGCTCTTCATCCCCAGGTAAAGCAACAGCTACAAGCACAAGGATGAGTGAAGGTACGGTCAGGCACTGAGGAGAGAGCAGATCCCACGCATACACCTCTGCTGCACTCAGTTCCACCCCACACCCCAGGCCCAGGCTGTGTCGTAGCACCATGTATCACACGTTCCCCAACCCTGCTGCAAGCCCAGTACAGCAGGAAGAGGACAGAATCCATTGTGCTGGAGGGAGAACTGATAGGGGACGTAGGGCTAAAAGCCTGCATGGAGGCAGCCCCTGCTGCTGACTTATCCCAGTACCACTGGTGGGACCTCAAGCAGAGATTTGTGCTAGTTTAGCAGGTGCAAGATCTGGTAGGTCATGTCACTCCAGAAGCATCTATTTGAGCAGGTGGAGATGGGTCCTGTGGGGATGGACTGGGAATAGCCAAGTTCCAGCTGGACAACCAGGCTGAGCCCAGGAAGTGTGAGCATCCACCTGACCTGACACCACTCCTCCCCATAGCACTGTCAGATATGATAAAGATAAAATGTTATCCAACAGCACATTTAGAATAAACCAAAGGATCTTTCTCACCCCAGCATCACTAAGGTATGGAGTCTGTTGCCACATAAGATTATGGGACCCATAATCAAATGAACTAAAAAGGGAATTAAAAAAATAGACAGGTTCTTCACTGGCTGTTCAACACAATGCCTAGATGCAAATCTTAAGCAGAATGTCCTTATGCTGATGATTGCCAGAAGCTGGGAAGGATTCACAGCAGTCATCACTGGCACCTGGGTTGGATAGAGCCAGGTCGGACTGACTGATCAGGTCTCAGGGTTTCCATAACCCGAAGACATGCACAGCCCCTCTAACTGCAGCAGCCCCATTGTGTTCCCAGTACCTGTGGTATTTTTGTCTGAAGCATCCTCCTCCTGGCTGCCATACAAGTTCAGGAACTGGGCAAAGGCCCCCCTGTTTGCAAGTAGGGTGCTGTAGGAGCCATGCTCAGACACTGCTCCTGCCACTAGCACCACGATGTTATCAACCTGGGGCAGGAAACTGATACTGTGCGTCACCAAGATCCGTGTCTGCAACAAAGTGGTTGCAGGGTAGTGAGCATCAGAGCACACCTCACTCCCCAGCCATGGGCCTGCGGGCTCTCCATCCCCTACTTGGGGATCTCTTTGCTTATCACTGTCTGGCTACAGGGGGAACCCGTGAGGCCTCTCCTGCCTACTGCAGCCCCAGCCACAGGACCCATTCCTGTCCCAAGCAAGCAACTTGTGACTTCCCTAGACAGTCAACACCATGTCAGTGCCCTTCTTGCTTGGCCAGCTGGTGGGGAGTAAGGCATGGGTGCTCACCTTCTTTTGCAGCAGCCCTTTAGGCCCCAGCACATGCTTGAAGAGGTACTTGCCAACGTGAGCATCTACAGCAGACAATGGGTCATCCAGGACGTAGATGTCTGCGTTGCTGTACACTGCCCGGGCCAGGCTGACTCTCTGCTTCTGGCCTCCGCTCAGATTAATGCCCTGGAAGGGAAGGGACCTCCCTGAGCACTGGGCTGACACAGGGCAACAGCTCTGTCCTCTGCTGCAGGTGCTGTGGGAAACCCATAGTGCCCAGGGCTGATACCTTCTCTCCAATCTCTGTCTGGTCACCTGCAGGCAGCAATTCCAGGTCTGGAAGGAGGGCACAGGCTTTGATGACCTGCTGATACCTGGCTTCATCCAGTTCTGACCCAAAAAGGATGTTGTCTTTCAGTGTGGCATTCTGGATCCAGGCCTGTTGGGGGACATAGGCCAGGGAGCCCTGGAAAGAGACAGCTACGTCATCAGAGCATCAGTCTGAGCACTGCCACCTCCTGGAGCTTGTGCATGCCCTGAGACATCATTTGGCGACCAGTCCTGCCCTACTGCCTCCCCACTGAGCTCCCAAGCATCCCCACAGCCCCCTGTGCTGGCCAGCTCCTCACACCTGGATGTTGATGTGTCCCTTGATGTTCTCCATCTCCCCGAGCATGGCTGACACCAGTGAAGATTTTCCTGAGCCCACAGCCCCCACTACCGCCACCAGGCTCCCAGGTGCGATGTCCAGGGTAACACTGCAAAGACATGAGGGCTGAAGAAGCAGCACTGCAGGTCACCTGCTGACTCCTGCAAGGGACCAGCACAGTGCTCCAGGGCACTTGCTTCTAGCAGCACTGAGAGAGGTGACTGCCATCCCCAAACAATGACATAGAAAGACTCTCCCCACCCATCTGCTCCCAACATGGTGCAGAGCACTCACTCTCTTATCGCAGCATTGCCGTCCTGCTCCCAGGCAAAGGTGGCCTCCGAGAAAAGCACAGCACTGCCTGTCAGCAGAGAGACATCCTTCAGGGCTGGAAAATCCCAGGGTTGGGGCATCCTGTGATCCACAGGATGTAACCTGGAGGTTCACCTGCCTGCAATGGGGTTGTGGTGGATAGCTGAGGAGTCCAGATCATCTCCACCCAGGTAGCGCTCCAGCCTCACAGTTGACACATTGGTCTGACATGGCAGAAAAAGGATGGCATGTGGGCATAAGGTGCAGCTGGGTGGGCTGGCCCACAGCAGAGCACCCCATACAGACAGCCCCCACCCAAGCACCAGCACCAACCTCTGAACCCCAAGCCTGTGTCATGTATGTGAATCCTGTCCCACCCCACTGCCAGCAGAGTCCTGGGTGCCCAAGGGCCAAGTCCATCACACACCTGAGCCCCATGTGCTGGTTTGGGCAAAGGTATCATAAGATCCCCCAGCACCCCCTGCCCTATGTGACTGCTGACCTGCACCAGGGAAGAGAGGACCAAGGGCAGCATGGCCATGGGGAAGCGCAGCACATTGAAAAGGGAGATGGCAGTAAAGGCCTTCTGTGCATCCAGGATGTTGTTCTCATCCACCAGCACGTAGACAGCAAAGCTGGCCAAGGAGACCTAGGAGAGAGAGCAGGGAAAGCTACCATTGGTGTAGTGTTGTGCAGCCCAGACCCTCATGCTCCCCAAAGGCCTCAGCAGCACCTTCCTGCTGGGGACCTGTTCCCCTCCTGCTTCCCTTCTCCTTTGGGCTCCATCTCACCACTCTGATGGGATCCCTTTCCACCACAGATCTCCTGCCAGCAGCCAGGACCATACTCTGCAGCCCAAGCATCTGTCAACCAGCCCCTTCCTCGCTACAGAAGCGCTCCAGCCGAGGTTCACAATCTTTCCCACCCCCTTGGACACAGCCCAACCCTAGCTCTGAGGAAGGTGCAGCCCTCCCCAGACCTGTTGGCACTCACCAGAAAGGGGGCACACATGAACACAAAGATAGAGATTGACTGCAGATAACTGAAGTTCACCAAGTCCTTGAGCTCACGTGCCCGGATCTCATTGACTCGCTTCTCAAATGAGGGTTCCCAGGCAAAAAGCTTCAGGATCTGTGAGATAAGCAGGGTCAGTGGTGTTGGCCTCATGGGATTGCCCACCTCCACACTCAAGTTCTCTAGTGGCCAGCACCTGCATCACCAGCTCCTGGCTTGCTCAAAAGCCTGCTTGGCCACTGCATCTCCCCTTTCCTGTCCTGTCCCATGGCTTATGGCACTCCCACACAGCATTCCTATTCCCTCATCCTTAGCTTGCAGGTCAGTACCAGCCCCTCTGCCAGCATGGCAGCCTGCTCACCACCACAGCCATCCAGAAACCCTCAGAAAACCCTCTCTTGGCTCCAGAGTCTTAGTCCAGGTACCCAGAGCTCCTCCCCAGCCAACATTTCAAAGGATGAAGAAGCCAAGGGAATTTCAGAGACTAAGGCTTGACTACCCCAGACACAGGAGCCCCAAACTAGACTATTACACTGGTGCTGTAGGGTTATACAGGTGTGCTGCCTCCAGATACAGTGCACCAGGAAGAGGGGTGCAGCAGCTGCCCAGGGGGTCTCCACTTCTCACCTTGATTCCATTGAGGATTTCACTCATTATTTTCATGCGTTCATCCTTGTTCTTCATATTCCTCACCTACAAACAGAAGAGCCAGAGGTCACCTCAGACAGCAGGTCACCCTTGGAAATACCTCTGGGCTGCCACAGGGGAAGGAACGGTGGGCTCCAGAGCCCAAAGAAGCCATCTCACAAAGCTGGACCTTAGTTCCCTGGAGCTCTAGACAACCTGGGAAAAATACAGCATCCTGTTGTCAGGTAGAAGCTAAAGCTTCATTTCATGGTTGGTAATATCTTGCTTTCAGTCCTCAGGGCTGCACCTAGCCCTGTTCAAATTCAGCTGTGAGAGTAGAACAGGTCACCTGCCTCCTGCTCATCTCAGCTGATCACCCCCCAGCTCAAGCTGGAGACATCCCCATCCCAAGTTGGATGAACTTCCCAGGCTGGGAAAGATCCACAGCATAACAGGGAAGGGTAGGGGAGTGTGGAAAATGAGTGAGGGGATTAACAGAGGGCCTCAGGAGTGGGAGGCCCTGCGAGGATCTTGTACCCACCACTGACCTGGATGGTTTTGGACTTGGCAACCAGGAACGCATTTATGGGGATCAGCAGCACCATGACTGCAATGCCAGCCAGGACAGAGGGGCCCAGCTCTCCCCAGAGGAAGACGATGGACAGGATAATTTGCAGGGGGGATGACCACAGCTGGTGAATGAAGTTGGCCATGTCCATGAACCTCTGGGCATCAGCTGACATCAGATTCACAGTCTCCCCCACAGTGGACTCCTTGCGGGTGGCACTGGACATAGTGAGTGCCTGGAAAGAGAAAGCATAGTCACCGAAAACCAGTCTGGGAGCAGCCTGGCTGTCAGAGTTGCCCCTCTGCTGGCCACACACTGCCTGCACACCAGGAGACACCAGATGCTGGGGGCAAAGAAACACATCCCCATGCAGGAACCCCAGTGACTGCTGCCCTAGGTGTTGCACTCCTCTGAAGAGAAACGTCCCTTGGCCCCTGCTAGCTGTCAAACATATGGCTGCAGCACCCAAGTCCCAGGCAGAACTAGCACCTACAGTGTCCCCAGTGCTGGGTGGGTGTCCCAGAAGCCAAGCTCTCCCTGTGTCTTCCTGGGAAATAAAAAGCAAACAGTTCCCCCGGGTTGATGGGGCAGGCAATGGATGCCAGTATCCCCACCCCAGCTTGGAGGAAGCCAGTGGGGATGATGACAGGGCCATACCAACCTTCTTGTAGATGGCAGCGATGAGACTCGCACGCACTTTTATACCAAGCTGGAAGCACAAGCTGAAGTACTGTTGCAGGCAGAGGGACTGGATCAGTGCCGTCAGGAAGAGCAGGATGGTGTACAGATAGCCTTGCCAGGCAAAGGACTCCTCATCTGACACAAAGGCGATCAGCAGCCTGGAGGGCAAAGCAGTCCATGGGACCCCCACCCTACTGAGACAGACCCAGGCAGGGTGCTCCAAACCAACACAGGAAGGCCATCCACACAAGAGTAGTGACAGAGATGCCATCCTGGCTCAACACTCACAAGCTGGGGACCCCCACCCCAGGGACACTGTATTTCACATACAGCAGTGGGTTGTCTGTGTCAGATTGTCCACAGAGATCTGTGCAGCTCTGAGAAACAAACTGGGCAGGTCCTGCTGGGCTGAGCTGGACTGACCCAAGAAAGGCTCCAAAGAAGAGCCAGGACTGTCTCCAGGAAGGGAGCAGGACTGTATAACAAAGGACATAGGGAGCAGGGAGCAAGATATCATCCATAAGAGCTGACAGCCAGCTCAAATCAGTTCTTCATTAAGCTAACCTAACACATTCTCACACCTTTGGTGAGGGCACAGAAAGTCCCCAGGGTGTGGGACTGGGAGAGGTACACATATGGAGGTGATGGGGTTGGATACAGTGCACACAGAGAGGTGGTGGGGCTGGGTGCAAAGCCGGGACAGGGAGGGACAGAGAGAAAGGACTCACTTCAGCAGCTGGGGGCTGACAAACACAAGTCCATCATGCACCAGCTTGAAAGCCACCGATAGCAGGAGGTTCTGCCAGAATGTCTTGCACAGAGTTTTCACCAACCAGCCCCTGGGCAAATCCTTGCGAGGGCCAGAGTCCCCTTTGTCCCCCTTCTTCTTCCTCTTTGGCTGTTTCTCCTCCTAGAGGAAAGCCCTCACAGAAGTAAAGGAGCTGGTTGTGCAGGTTTCCTGCACCTGGAAGGATGCTTTCCGGGCAGTGCCACAGCCCCACGATCAGGTATCCTGAATGAAGCCTTAGCTTTACCTCCTCATGTTCCCTCTCTCTGATCTGCTTGTGTCATCATACACCCCCAGTACTAACACCTATCTTGTGTGCCAAAGAAAACCGTTGCAAATCTCAGACCAGCCTGAACGTCTCATGCCAAAAATCAGACACCCCAGGAAGAATCTGAGTCCAGGGGTGATCATATAGTGATGTTCAGTCTGACCTCATTGCTGGGAGGTATCTGGGGTAGAGGAAGACAGAGATAAGTGAACTGCTTGTACTACAGACTTGAGAGTGGTTCCTGTCCTTCTGTAAGGCAGAAGGATGGAGACTTTCTTGGTCTCTCAAAACATGGGGATCTGCTGAGGAGAAGGAAGACCCTGTCATGGGTTCCCCCATCCTTGCCCATGGCCCTGCAGAAGAAGGGAAAACCTAAAAAAGGGGGCTGCAGAGAGGTGAGGTAACCCTACTCCCCAAGGCTGGACCTGGATCTCTTAGTCCCATGCAAGACCAAGTGTAAGAAGGATTTACCAGCACCAGGATGTCTTGGCTCTGGGCTTTGCTCATGTTGTTCCCATGGTCTGGGTCAGTTTTCTGGCGTCTTTTCTTGCGTTTCCGTTTCTCCAGTTCTGCTTGGGCCTTTCTCACTGCAGTCTTCATGTTCTTCTCCCAAACAGTGTAAATAGCCTGTATCTTGTCTTTACCTTTCAATTCCCAGATATCCTCTATCTCCAAGGGTTTGCGATAGCCCTTGAAAACCATGCTGTGGGGCAGAGAAATCCCTCCTCAGCAAGTTTCCCACTCTATACCTGTTGGAGACTCCTTGCTGCAAATGTAGAGCCTTCACACCCAGCCTGGCCCCAAGCTCAGGCTGCAGAGACTGCACGGAACGCAGTGCCTCTTGTGACTAACTCCAAGCAGCCTGTTGCTGCAGGCTCCTCCATACAGGACTGGGCCAACCATAAAGCCCCTCTCCATTTTTCCAGCCCAACATCCCACGGAGCCCTGCTCACCTGGTGTACCATTCGAAGGTGATGGAGCTCAGGAAGGAGGCTGTCACCTCTGGGTTCTAGGGTACAAAGCAAAGTAGGTACCAAGAGACCATTGATACTGAGGGGTGGTGTTGACAAGAGTTGACTCAGCACTCCCAGCCATTAAGGAACCCCAGAGGTTTCAAACTGTGTTGACAAGAGTTGACTCAGCACTCCCAGCCCCAGGAACCCCATTTTGCAGCCAGAAGCAGCCCTGCCTTGGACACACATGCAGATGCCCTGGGGCTGTAGGCTCCAGCTCTTGCTGTGCCCCTTGCTGAAGCCCCCAAGTCTTCCCTCCCACAGGGGCCAGGAGGAGTCTCTGTATGGAGCCCACTCTGCGCTGTGCAACACCAGATGGGATGTGGTACCCCAAGCCCACTCCCACGTGGACCTCGCACCTTCTTCGTGATTTCCTTTGTTTCTGGGGCGATGTCTGAGAAGCCTGAGACAAGGAAGAGCAGCAGCTGGAGCCCGTAGGAAATGAAGAACAAGACAAACCGTGGCACATCAGAGATTGGTGCCTACAGGAACAGAGAGCCCAAGGTGACTGTTGGGGTGCTGCCTGGCACTGATTGAAGATCCATCCCCAGCACAGGGAAAAAGGCTTGGCCCAACGAGGCAGTGTAAAACTTGCTCTGGGTCCTGGCTCATCTTTCCTCCACCACACCTCCCTGCTTATCCTTGACCTCCTCCCATAAGGGGAGAAACTGGTCTGGAGAGCTTATGCCTCCCCAAAGAGACAGAATGAATTCAAAGAGCAATTCCTTCTCAGGTCTCTTCTGGCCACCCAAGGTCCCTAGGGCAGCTGGGACCCCAGTGATACCACTAATATCTTGCCAAGAGATGAAGTCTGAAGGGACTTTCTTTGTGGATCGGACAAGACCATAAGGAAGCACAGAGCTTCCTACCAAACCCACCTGCAGGGCTCTCCGGAGGAGTGACTGAAATGGCAATATCCCACAGAGCAGGGACAGCGTCCAGAAGCAGAAAAGTATCCCTGAGTCTCTGCACAAGCAGAAGCGTCGTGCATCGTGGATCAGCAGGACCAGGAGCTGGGGGAAGGAAAATCAGAGGTTCAGGCAGGGCTGCAGGACTAGGTCTGTGCTCTAAATATGCCTTTGGATCATGTGTCCAGGACTCCAGTACACGTGATCTATGTGGGGGGATTCACTGCCTTGAAGAAACTAAGCTCCTAGTGCCTGACTCGCTGCCAACCCTACGTAAGCTTTGGAGTTCATTGCACAGGGCAAAGGTTTATTTCAGGAAGACATACAGACTCCTCATAGGAAAAGCAAGGTCTGAAGACACCCTGACATGACAGCAAGGCACTATTTCTCTTTTCAGCTGTTCTCACCCCAGATTCTCAGATACGCCCAGCTGAGAGGAGTCACACCCACTCTCCTACAAATTGCCTCCAGACGTGGAACTAAGGCTGGATCAGAGATCCTGCAGCGCAGCCTCTCTGGGCAGCCCTCTTGACTTCTAACCTCACATGAACTCTGCATGTGAAACTAAATGACGTGACAAAATACGAAGGATAGCAAACGGGGTGTTACTTTTGCTTTTAACTATAGCTCCTGAATATTATGGCTTTGTTAAGACTGTTACAATAACCTATGTCTCATATAAGATACCTGCAACTTCCATCAAGCAAATGGCCCCTATGTCCTCAGCTTTCTCCTCTGCCTGGGAGTCCTGTGGCACTTCTCCACCCTTCACACAAAACTGAGCAGCAACCCATGTGACGCTGCGAGACATCAGAGCAGCAAGCTGTGGTCTGATATTCACGCTGCACAGTCAACCCTGTGAAACCCATACTGCTGCTACTAAGGCTTCTGCCAGAAGGCTCAGCTACACTCACAGGCATAGTATCTATCCCCCTTTTAAGCACAAAAGGAGGGAGCACTGTACAACCAGACACCTGTCCTCAACCTATTGTCCTTGTGTACACCCACACATGTTCAGGGTTAGTCCCAACCCATCCTCCAGGCTACACTTCCCTCATGGACATGGCTTCCCACTGATCTCTGTGCTAAGGGAAGTTTTCTGCTGCTTGGCCCTGCCATTGCACACCCTGTCTCTTTCGTGACACACAGCACATTTACCAGCTGATCCCTTACCCAGGTAGCGATGTACAGGCTGGGATTTGTGTACTGGACAGCTGGCAGGGGGTCCTGCTCTGTGTCCTCTACAAATGCCAGGGCCAACTCTGCCACTGCTGTCAGCATCAGCAAGGTAGCCAGCACCTGTGGGGAGAGGGTAGCAGCTGTGAGGGGAGACCCAGCCCAACATGGGCACCGAGAATCACTGGAAGACAACACAGTTAGGCATAAAAGCACTGTTCCATACAGCATTACACCCTTTCCAACCCAAACCTGGCCTGGGAGAGCTTTCTACAGCCCCATGAAGCTGCAGCACTTCCACAGGAGCACTGCCACCATTTGAAGCTTGGAGGGTAACAGCCCAGAAGATGAGAGGCTCCAGTACACACATCTGCCCTCCCTCCTAGTGCATCCCAGCCTTGTTACCCCCTTTGTTCCAGGTATGCCTCATCCTGAGCCCTCGATTACATTTCTGTCCCAGATGGTGCCCTAGCCCATTGCTCCTTCTCTCTCACACTTCCCATCTCTCCATTCCACACCTAACTTCAGCCCAGAGGGTTTCCACTCACCGCCCCTCCATCCCAGGGTGCTCCAGCCTGCCCTCTGTGCCCCCTCAGCCCCACTCTACCTGTTTGATGATGTAGAGTTTGGTCACAGATGATTTCTTGGCTCTGGATTTGCACATGGGCAGGAGCTGCCATGGAGCTAAAATCCAGAAGAAGCCAAGGGGGACCCAGACCAGCACAGTCTGCTGGAAGCACACAGGTAGGTCAGCATCCGGACGACTGAGGTAGGAGGCATTCTGGGGGCAACAAGGACAGACAGCCAAGTCACTCGGGATGGCTTAATCTTCACCTGGCTCACAGCACAAGAACCAACACTCCTACAGCTCCTGCCCACCTTGTTCCACCCCATCACAACCCCCTCCTCAACACCCACCTTCCTGACTGAGCATTTCAGCCCTCAGCCAAGGTCCCAGGTGATGTTCCCCTACCTGTCTATATGCCCGAACCTGGGAGGGCCTTCCCCACAACCACCCGTTGCTGGAGCCAGGCCAGCTGCAGCAGCAGTACCCAGATCATTCCCCAAGAGTTTCATGTAGGTTTTCCTGTGTTCCCAGATGGGCTGTGGAGCTAAAACAGGACAGGACTCACTCAGGGAACTGTTATTTGCATCATTGTCTTGTGGATACCACACACGCAGTGCACCGCACTCAGTGCCATGGCAGTCCTGGATAAATATCAGAACCTCCAACCACTGGCACTTGGGTCCCACTGGTTAAACAAGCTGTGGGCCTTGAGATCTACTGCTCTCCCCTTCCACTGAGAATCCTACCCCAAGAGTGGGCAATGGGGGAGATGCAGCCACTCACCCAAAAGATGGAACCACAGAACTCCTCCAGGGCTGCTGACATGGCTCAGGGGAGAAGAGATGGTGGATCCTTCCCCTCGCTCTGCCTGGCTGTGAGAGTCCTGGGTGGATGCTTGGGATAAAAGTCCCCACACACCCTCAAGTGGTGCTGGGACAAAATCCCTGATGACATGTAGTAGTTAATTGTTAACTTGGTGCTATTGCACAACACCACAAGCCAAAGTAGTGACCAAAAGGACTTCACAAATTGCATGGGCTCTGGGGAAGGGAGAAGAGGAAGACCCAAGAAAGGGATCAAAAGGGAGATGCAGAGAAGCCACTGTCACAGTCACTGCAGGACACCACAGCCATTGCTCAGAAACCACAGCCTTCCTCACTGCACACCTACAGACACAAGTTCATGTGGACCCACTAAAGACACTGCTTTGGTGCAGCAGACCTCTCCTGACAGAACAAGCCTGCTGAATGCCACCAAAAAGTTCAGCAAAGGCTGCTTGTTCCCTCAGGAATCAAAGACAACAGTACCTTTTCTCGTGCACCACCCAGTAAGGAGGCCCAGGACACCAGCAGCACTCCAGGCCTTGGAACTTGCAGCATCTGGCAGCTGAGCTGGCTGCACGCTGCAGTGGTCTTTCTGAATCCCCAGGATATGGGTTCCATTTACCAACTTCTGACTTGCAGAGTTTGGAGACTTTCCCAGCTCTTCCTTTTGCTTCTTCCTTTCCCACATCTCTGCATTGCCTGCATGTTATTGCAGCTGGCTGACCACTAAACTCAAAGAGACTTTGAATCTTATTTCAAAGGCAGCCTTCAACATCTGAGACAGCCAGAGGACCATTCCTGAGGAGGGTGACTGCTACTAAATCATCACCTTGCTGCTTAGAAAGGTGGAGCTGTGGGGGCAGGTGGGGATGGTGCTACTGTAAGGCTGGAATTGAATTTGCTTTATCACATGCATGTCTTGGGGAGCAGTAGGTAAAAGGGGACAGTAGAGTGACTACAAGGATTCTGTCATCTCATTGTTCATGGAGTTAGTAAATAACTCAGAAGTCAAGGGTGATACATGAGTAATTGCTCATGAACATCACCATCAATACCAAAGAAAAGTTCAATGTCCGACTCATTAGTTAATTATTACTGGCTTGTTTGATTAAATATACTTGTTTTTGTAAATAAAGCTACCCTTAGTTCTAAGTCCTCTGATCCAGAACAAATACACTGCTGATGAGAGCAGCAATCTGATGCAATGGATAAAAAAATAGTGAATGGAGCAGTCACTCCCTTATCCCATCTCCATCCAGAGTGCTCATGTGATTCTTCTTTCTGCTCACTGGCACAGGTGTCCTCTGGCCTTGTTTATACCCCCTGGAGTGCTGGTGCCAAGGGTACCACTTGCCTGTGACACCTTCCTATTCAACGCTCTGTCCCATCATTTGTCTTGGCTTTCAGTACGTCACAGCTCCTCCTCAGCCTGCCTTTGGTCTCAGAGTTGAAGTGCTTTGCTCAGCACAGGATGTCAGTGTTCAGAGCAAGCACACCCCCATTTTCTTTACCCACACACCTGTGGCATGTTCCTCCTAAAAACCCACAAAGCCACCTCACTGTCCTTCAGCTCCTTCCATAAAGCTTCCTTCACCACAATATCCAAAAAATATTCACTTGGACCAAGCTAACCAAAGCAGTAAGAACTCTTTGGCCAACAATACCACACCATTTCCCCGTGCTCCTCTGCCTACACCCATCTGTTGTCCACCATCTTATAACTTTTCAAAATCAGGCATTCTTTCACGCCAGCCTCACAGAGTCTGGCCCAGGACATACTTCTGCAAGGCAATCTACAAATTAGTCCAGCCCTCACTGCTCATCTCTGTTTCTGAAGGGTTTGATTCTCTGCTTTGTTATGCTATATCCCCATGTGAGTTTGAAAGCTTTTTTTTCTTTTTTTTTTTAAACTTTACACAAAGGGAAAGAACCAAACTCTGTGTTTATGATGCTAGGGGGGCTGTGTCAGCAGAATATTCATGTTAATTGAGCTACCGCTATCTTACTTATCACCATGACTCATGAAACCTCACAACATAAGCATAAACCCTTAAATCAGGTATTCTGAACTATATTGCCTATAACCACAAATTTAATAATTTTGTCTGAGTTTAGATCCTTCCTACTGCTTGCCCACCCACAGTGGTGAAGCAGGCTCTGACACCAGCACTAAGCAGCCATTCCTCTCCCACATCCTATGTTGAGAACTATCACATACATTCCTGAGGTCTGTTTTGGGAGAAACCGATACCTCTGATGGATCCATGTCAAAAAGTGGATGTGCCCTTTGAGATGAAGACACGTAGTCAACCTCGGTTATAGATTTTTCAATGACCTGATTTTGTTTGAAATTACAGAAGGTGCTGCCACACAGTCAAATATCACATTTTGCTGTACATTCTCACAGGCTGGATGCTATTGCCAAGCTGGGCAGACAGATCTGAACCCTGTTTTTTGCTTCCTAAGAAGGTCTGCTATCTCTATTGTCAGGGGGATTCTCTTCAGCTTTGTGGATCTTGTAGAGAAGAGCAGGCTGCAAGAATAAAGGTGCTTTATCTCTGGGTCTCTACTCTCTTAATGGACTACTTCAATGCCTTTCAGATCTTTCACTGGGAATTTTGCAGGATAACTGAAAAGAATCTAGCCCTTCAATTCTGACCAGGCAGCAATAACCCAACAGGCACATTCCCCCAGGCACTGATGGAGAACCAGCTTCATGGTGGGAAAAGGACCTGGAAAGGCCCTTAGAAAAAGCACCTTGTCCTCCAAAGGAATCTCATCACAGGCCCACCCCACCTCGAGCCCTCATGGTCCACAGTCCAGGAGTGAGGGCACTTGTCCAACTACCTCACCTGATCAGTCATGTAGCTAGAAGCTGCTTCCCTTTTGAAGTTAATGCATTTATCACCTTTGCTTACCAGCGTGCTTCCTAGCAGCTGCTGTATTGCTAATCCTCAGCCATCCTACTGGCTGGCCACAGCAGGCCTTGTTTTCCAGCTGTGGTTATGACATTTCCCTCCCTGGCATTCTGGACGTGATTGGATTAATTCAGGCTATGCGACACAGATCACAGTCTTACCTGCAAAATTTAAATAATTTTTTTTAAAAAGCACAGCAAGAGGGGTGCAGCTGCAGTGTTTATTTGACAATCACATGCAGTGCTACACAATTCAGTCCCTCTACTTGCTCAGCTCCCTTCCTCCCAAATACTGCCAAACAGCTTGCTGCTGCAACATCTGGGAATGAGTCCTTTTATTTAAAATGGCCAACACAAGTTTCCAAGCCAGGGACTGGTCATTCGGGGGAAGCCAAAGAAGAGATGTCAGGCTTCATCACCTAGTTCACATCCTCTGCAGCCTGCGGACGGAAGCAGTACCCATCTGTCCATGTGGCAGGGAAGACCCTGGAGCCTCAGCGCTCTTGTCCCAGCACAGTGCCATCCACTACAGAATGTTCTTTGCGATTGCATTCAGGGTCCTCACTTTGGCCACATCTGCCACTTTTATGGAGTATTCAGGGGCAGAGAAAGATGCTCCCATGGCAACGTTCGGATTTCTGTAGGGAAAACAACTGGTTACTATCTGCAGGTGATACAGATGAGTAAGACACTAAGAAAAACCCACTATCTCCCCTAGTCTCAGCAGTGGCCAAAGAACCTGCTGGTGCCCCCCAAACCAAGGATGAGACAGTAATAGAAAGAAAAATAATCCAAAGGCAAGAAACAACAGCATCAACAGAAAGCCAGTGCAGACCTGTGGACAAATGTAAGGCACCTCCCAATCCTACATGCTAGTGTTAAAGGTCTAAGGCAGCTACACCAAAACCTGCCTTCCCAAGTGCCACACAAGAGCACTCACAAGCCCTAGGACAGCAGTAGCAGAAGAAATGCCCCAAGGATCCAGTTTTGCATTGAGCCTGTGTCCAGATGATGAGCACTGCTGGATTCATACACTGCAGAACACAGAGCCAGGAATCATGATTCCAACCACAAGAGCGTAATTAGCACCCAGGAAGCTGTTTGAAATTTATGCCTGTTCTACAAACTCAGGTTCCCATTAATCCAGGTCTTCCCTTGTACAGTTTTGCTAAAAAATAAACAATTGGTTACCTGAACTTCATCCCTGAGTCCCGGGCTGAGCGAGCAGAGCAGTGAAACTCAGAAGCGGTGGAGCCTTCCAGAATTCTCTGCAGGTTGCGCTCTGTGATGCCACCCCCTGGTGGGAAGCATCCCGATGTCACACACAGTGCAGATGGCACTGTCCCAGACCCGGCATCACCCCCGGGCCTACCCCCTGAGAGACAAGCACCATCTACACTGAAGGGAAAAGACAGCCCCTGGGACAACGGAGCCCCAGGCACGTGAAAAGAGATGGTAGAAGCCTTGGCTCATGTTCTCCCACAGATCTAGAGCTGTCCCCAAATCCTCCAGTGAGCAGCAGCCGCAGGACTCTGCTGTCCCCAGCTGGCTGCATAGCCTTTACTTGAACCACGGTTCCTCCTCCTGGGAACCTGGCTCAGAAAGCCACATCAGAGAGCACATCCCAGGGTAAGAGGCTAGGAAGCAGGGACTAGGAACTACAGGACCCGTTAAAGATGACTTAAAAACATTACCTGGCACCACCACAATTCTTCCCTTCGCCTGAAAGAAGAGTAAGATATTAGTGACATTGCTCAGCACAACATCCACACACACATTTGTGGGGCAGTAAAGAAACCTTACATGCAGCACCTTCCATAAGCTCATAGATGTCACCACGGCTTATGATTTGTGCACTCTCACCCATCTTTTTATACTATTCATGTTTCACATGGAAAAGTGGAAAAGAATTGGCAACTACAGCTATGTCAACTTGTCACTGTTTCCTCCTACCTCTCTATCCCAGCTGGCTACCTCTCAGGTACACCTGTTGCATTTTCCTAACAGGAACTGAGAGACCACCAGCAGGGACCTCACTCTGATGTTTGTGTGGGCTAATCACACCAACTGCTGAAACCAACTCCTACCATCCTCCTCCCAGTCTGCAAGCAAGAACAACCCAACCAGTCTGCTGTGGATGACTCTGGGGTCCAGCGCATGTGGACTTTGGAAACCAGATTAAGGCCAGTCCAGAAAGGGAGGACAAGCACTCCTTGAGAGAAGTTCACTTACAGAAATGAGGGCTACTATAAAGGAGCTGCCTCCAGCAATGCCCAGGAAGCAGCCATGTAACTCAGCGGAGCACAAGGAACACTTACCTGTTCTGCAAGCCTCTTAATTAAGGACAATCCTTCCAGTGCTGAGCTGTCACAGCCGCTCGTCAACACCCGTTCAAACCCCAGAGAAATCAGGGTCTCCAGTGCCACCAGAGGGTCGTGTACCATGTCGAAGGCTGAGTGACCAACATAATCGCTCAGAAATCAGTTCATCGTGCTCAAGCCCTGTTCCCCAGCCAGTTCAGGAGCCCAGAAGACAACGACAGGAAGGGTCCTTCTCACAAGCTGGCCACCCCCATGGGGAGCCACACACAGCTCCCGACTATGACATCCCTCTCACAGCAGTGGCAGGGCCACCGTGCTCAGCTCCTCAGACACCTCCTCTCCACACAGGGCAGTGACACAGCCCCCAAGCCCAGATCCCCTCCTGGAGGAACAGAAGCACACCCTGCTCTTGCACAGCAAGCAGAGCTTTTCCCCCCTCCAAATAACAACCAGAGTACACTAAGCTCAGCTCCCTCCCAGCCCCATCTTCCCGTGGCAGCGGTGTAGAGGCTGATCCCTGCCAGGGCCACAGGCCCAGGCAACTCACCTCGGTGAAATGTGACTGGCAGGGGACGGCACACCGCTGCAAAAAGAAGACATGGTCAGTCAGGGCTGGTACAGAGAGTCCCTGGGGGCTAGAACAATAAAGCACATGAGATGAAAGAGGGAGAAAGCTTCTTGGGCCATTCCTGGGAAGCTCAGAAGAGTCCAGTATTTACTGGGAAGAACACAGCTGTTGCTCCTTGGCCAGGGTCTTTGGTGAGGAAGAGTTATTCTGCTCTTTGAGGAAGCAACAAACCTTTGTTTATACAAGTAACACCAAAATCCCCCATCTCATCCAGGTCATGCAAAACCCTCATTCCCAGCATGGATGTCTTTCTCTGCAGGAAGGAAGCAGGGAAGTTGTATCACCCACCTGGAGAAGGGACAGAACAAGTGCTCTTTGAAAGCAGGAGAGCTGATTTTTGTGATTTCTTTCACCACCTACAACTTCTGCTCTCAGTCCACAACAAACTTCACCAGTGGTCCTCTATTATACTAGGCAAAACTTATTTATTTTTATAAAAAGAAATCCAACTGCCTCCTGCCCTGGAAACACTGGTTCCAACAGAGCACCTCACTGCTCTAGTGGAAGCAAATCCTGGCAAGACGCCTCTCTTTTGTTGCACACCCTATAGCATATTCACCTTCCTATGAGAAGCTCAGCACCACACATCGCCAGAGAAAGGCTCAGCCCTCTTTAGCTTTGGCTGTAGCTCACAGAAAATATGCGGAAGCAAATTTTGTTTCTCTCTGTGTGTTAGGGGTCTAGACTAACAATTTCTCACTGCAGCTTCAGTAGCTTTTTATAAGGTTCTACCTCTCTCTCATTATTTTTTGTCACTGGGTGTGTTAGATAAAAAAATGAAGATGAGTTGCCAGCAACCCATCAGGTTGTCCAGGAGAGTCATATCCTAGACACCTGTAACAGGGATACAAGGCAAAAAACAAAGGCAAAGAAAATGAAGAAGGAAGAAAATCCAACAGTTTAATATTCTGATGCCCCCAAAGCAGCTCAGCTAAGTCTCCCTCCTCCTTAGACCCTGCTATTATGTCCCAGGGGGCCTCAAACTGTGTGAACTGCTTGAGGCAAGGCCCTTGGTTTGCAGAGGTTCCTACCTATTCAATGTCTCACAGGTACAACAATATATGAAACTATTGAAGGTGGAGAGTGATGGCAAGACCAGAGACAAGATGTGCAGGCCAAAGCACCCTGCGCAGTTCTTTCTACAGCATTGGACCAAGCAGTACTGGACTCCTGCCACAACACAGGTATCACACAGAGCTCGGCCCAGCACTTCTGACTGGAGACACTCTTACCCAGCAACGCTGTGCAGAGCTCTGTATCAATGCGCCCGTCCTCAGTGAGGGCCCCGAACACCAGTCCATCAGCCCCGTGCAGCTTGGCAAGGCGGATATCGGCTTTCATCACTTCCACCTCCCGGTCCGAGTAGAGGAAATCGCCGCCGCGAGGTCGGATCATCACGAAGACTGGGACCCGCACGCACTGCTTCACCACCTGCAGCAGTCCTGAGGGAAAAGGGAGAGGGGCAGATGAGCACCCAACCGCGGCAGCTCCAACCACCGGGGGAGGCATGATGAAAACAGCGGGGAGGCGTACAGGGGGCAGGCGGGAGGAGGACAAACGAAGAGAGAAAAGGGAAGGAAGGCGCTCAGGAGGGTGCGCCGGGCACGCTGGCCCCCGACCCCCCGGGAGGGGGAGCGGCCCCAGGGGAGGGGGAGTACCCGGGCCGCCGCAGAACGGGGGCGGGCGAGGCTCACCCATGCTCGGGGTGGTTCCTCCTTCCACAAGGCCCGCGCACAGCTCGATCCGGCCGGCACCTGGGGAGAGGCACGTCAGAAC